ATCAAACTGGGTGTGCCCAGTCAGAAAATATTCACAGCAAGAAATATAGTCCTAAGAGCTCTTCATACTGTAAATTCCATAAATTCTTCTATCTCATGTGAGAGGGACACCTCTTCTCTCAGTGTACTTTATAATTGATTTATTAACCTGATTTCCCCTTCATGTATTCCTTTACAATTTATACCTTTATACCATTAACATTATTGAAGCCAGGTGCTCTCCATATTATAACAAATTTTCATGTTGAGATCCCAGTTGAAACTGACAAACCCAGGGACCAGCTTATATAGTTATTGTTACCAAACTCCAAAAGAGGAAGCTTGAAACTGAGAAAGGCTTAATAATAACTTGTCTATATTATGCAAGTATACAAGCTTGTACATTGCAAAACATGGAAACAATATCCTCCTGTCTTTGAGTCTTGTGGGGTGATAAATGCATATTTTCCCTGAGGATCTACATCGTGGTCATGATAGGTATTTTCTATTATATACCACAAATAAATAAAAATGCTCAAAACAGTCACTATTGGGTTCTGAATAAACCGGAAGGTGAAATGGCTACTTTGATATGTCTGCCTGACTACCTCTGCCCCTGCAAATTTATGCAGGCTCTAAATTTGATCCAGATTCTTACCTTGTTCCCTGAACAATGCAACAGGCAAATCCAACACATTCCCATATGAGTTTCAGATCAGAAATTCAGCCCATGAGAGTAAGGAAACACCCTAGGAAAGGTTCTTGAGAATTTGGTCAAAAGGGTAAAAGTTCTCCAGAACCAGGTGACATTAAGAACCCAAAGGACACAAAAACATTAATTCAAAAGGATACCTGCACCCCTCTGTTTATTGCAGAACTGTTTATAATAGGTAATATACGGAAACAAACTAAACATCCAAAAATAAATGACTGGATGAAGAAGATGTGGTGTATATATACAGAAGAATATTACTCAGCAATCAAAAAATGTAAACTCATGCCAGTCACATCAACATGGATGAAACTGGAAGGGATTATGCTTGGTGAAATAAGGCAGAAAGAAAAAGAAAAATAGAAGAACCAAATAAAGGATCAGGGGGGAAAAAGTAATTAAAATAAATTAAAAATCAAAATCAATGGCAACTATAAATCAGAGGCATTCTAAGGAGGTGGGGGACAAAGAAAGATCAAAACAAGGAGGGAAGAGCACAAGGGACTATGGTGATGGTGCACAGATAAATTGGTGATGGGGATTTCCAGGGACTACACCTGAGGGGAGAAAGCATGCATGGTACGAAAATGAAGAATGATATAAAAAAAAAATATATATATATATATATATACACACTGTTCTCTAATATTATATATATGTATATATAATTAGAAATTTTTTTAAAAAGAAAAAAGTACTTGTTAGCCTGTAAGTACCTAATATCAATTCCAGATTATATCTCTTGTCACCTAAGTCTTCTCTCTTCTCACACAACTCACTGAGCTGATGGAGCTTCTGTGTCTCCATCTGTAAACTAGAAAAAAATAGAGTTAGCCCCCCAACCACCTCCTCGCGGGAGGGCTGCAGCTGTCATGAGAAAACCAGAGAATCCCTGTGATGTCTTGTACCTGAAAGGGATGAATCATCACAGTCATAATTAAGGCCCAATTATTTGCAGGTATTTGTCCTGGTTTGTTGCAGGCTCTCATCGGAGTTCAGTTTGCAGGAAAGTCATAGACATTTACTAACAGTCATGTGAATGGAAGTATGAATGGTCCAAGGGGCTCTGGCACTTAGACCTGGGACTCTAAAGTAAGGTCCAAAGGAGTCCTGTGGGACTTGAAAGGTTAAGAACTCTCAAGGGATAAAACCGCTTGAGAGCAACAGCTCTTCGCTCACACAGCTGGCGAAAAACAATTAAAGTGTCTGTGAAGATGGCTCTGGCTTGTGAAGGGAGATCAAGAGTTTATTAGCATTATTTGTACTAATTCTCTTTGGTAATACAAAATCAAGTGGCATCATTACCTCTAGGGCAATTTGGCACAAATATCAGAGGAGAGGGACATGGGCTTTGTCACTTAGAAAGTCAAGTAGATGCCAGAATTATTGCTTCATTTGGTTCACCCGAAATAATTGCATCATCCATGATTGTGATCCACTCATTCAACCATTTATTGATCCCAAATGGATTTCAACCTCACCCTTGAACCCTGGTGTACAATGTCCATGCAAGAGAATCAAGCTTCTTAGCGTCATGTTTTTCAGTCTAGTGGAGAAGTTAGACATGAAGCAAATGCAGAGATAGGCATATAGTTATTATACAGCAAATGCTGACATGTGGATTGAAGGAGAACAGTAAAAATTTTCTCTTATTTGATTGATTATAATATTTTATCAGGAAAATCAACATTTCAGCCAATGCCTAGCAGTATGACAAGAGGCAGTTGGAAAGATTTCTCTAGACACAGTGAAAACTTTTTGTAAATACCTCAGGATGTCAAAAGAAGTGGGCAGAATCTAAAGACCCAGATTGAATGCAACAGTCAGCAGGACTTTGCACTTTGTTTTCATTGTCTGCTCTGGGACAAAAATCTGTAAACAAATCAAATCAAAATAAAATGCTTATCCCAAAACCAAAGTTACCCACAGCAATGACTGGTGGATGATATAACCAGATTGGTCAGGTTGTAAGAACAGCTCAAATTTTGAAGCAAAAATGCCCTGTGTTGACAGTTAGCAGCAGACTGAAGACCACTTTATTCCCAGTAACTTAGAAATGTGGATTATTATGAACAAAGTCATGACCTCAAATTGAACAAGAATGTATCATGGCTCAAAGATAATCCTCATAGTCTGTGCGGTTTAAAAATCACAATGGAGTAATTCATGGATCTTACCTTGTGATGTTGAGCAATAACATCTATCTCAGTGAGACCTGACTGAATGGAATTCCCACACACCAAAGTAGTCACCGTGTTCATTTCTCTTTCACCATCTAACAACAGAAGTTTTTTTGTCTTGTCTTAGCAGGAAACCCGCTGCTCTCATTACTAAAAATGCATTAAAATCTTGCTTTCCTCTAAATTCATTCTTCTACCAATATCTTTATCATATGAAGGATATTAGCATAATGTGCAGACAGATAAATCTAAAGTTAAATGGTGTTTTTTGTTCAGTATTTACAATATTTGTATAGCCCTTCATATGTTGGACTAATTTTACATGCATATTTGACAAAATCAATGTTTCCTCAACTACTGGGTCCAGGACCTGCCTTTTTATTAAATTCCTATTGACTTTCTATGAAAGGGAGTTTAAGAGAAATGGACTTCATCTAATATGTGGAGAACTCTTCAGAGCTGGTTTCAGGGCATGATGCTGGTACAATTCACACAACATCCTGTGTTTAAAAGGTCCTGCACTGGGTTTACTGCTTGGCTTTTGTCAACTGGGAATTATTAGTAAATTTTTAACAAGGGGCTTCATGTTGTTCTTACACTGGGTTCCGCAAATTATGTAACCAGTCCTGATTCTTTACATTTAAATTACTTCAGATAGGATTTAGCATTTTGTGAGAGTAACCTGAAGGGAATGGATATCTGATTCTTTTTCTACAAAAGGAAAACCTTTCTCTATCAAACAGTGTGTCACTGTGATCTTTGTTTCTGAAGGCCGTGTCCCAATATGTAAATCTCTCTACCACATCATTCTGATTTATTAACACTAAAAACTACAAGAGTTGTAAATCTGAGACTCCAGACACCACATTAAAAAAGGTCATTTTCACTCTTCCCATATGAGACTCCAAGATCTAGAAGTGTTTATAGACAGATGGATAGATCTGTCTATCCTATCTATCTATCTATCTATCTATCTATCTATCTATCTATCTGTAATGTGTGTGTGTTCTAATGTTGTTCCCACTCATTCTGTGGCAAAACATGTTGAAAGAAAAGCCAACATAGAAAGAACTGATGATTCAATGAAATCATTTTTAGACTCAGTAAAATAATAAATTTATTTAATTGAAAGCATCTTTATCATTGTTATCACATCTCTGAAAAATTCCTAATGTGATATCAAAATTAGAAAGTTTCTTTAGATTAAGAGATTGTTAAGGACCAATTAGATTGACTTGTAATTTGAGCCTGAGTGATGACCTCTGAGTGATGACCTGATAGCAGAGATAAATGAAGGATCATGAAATATGTCCCAGGATGAGCATTGAAGACAAAGGATTCATCCTAACTTTAAAAGTAAATGTTGTAATTTTTTTAATTGAATGAAAATATGCTTTAATTATTGTTTACCTTTTCTTATATGTTTGTCAGTTTTTCTTATTAAATTGTGACATGAAGATGTTTTTTCTGGATACTGAGTCAAGAAAAATGAAAATTAAGCCCAATAAAAATGCCCAATAAAAATGTAATCACACTCACTATCACTGAAAAAAGAACAAAAATAAACAAAACCTTAGTAACAACCCAATATCCAGGATGGTTTAATTGAAGAGTTAAAATAATTTAACATGTAACAATTTCAATAAAAGTTAAAAGTACATACATAAGGGCAATAATATTAAAAATTATAGCTACATTAAGGAATGTATTTACAAATACTTAATCATTAAATTATACTATAAAAACAGGCTAATGCCATTTATCTCTTGAAATCATTTCTCAATTTATTCATGGTTATATGATATATGGGATTCCCTGAATGAGGTAAATTCTGGCCATATATTTAAATACATTTGTGACAGTTAATGTACTTATGGGAGTGTGGATAATTCTATAAATAAATGAAGAAATGTAATATAATAAAGTAGAAAATTTAAAAGAAGAATTATGGGTTCATTGTTGATTCTTCTCAAACTGTATTCCTGAGATCTCCTACTTGTCAAGACATGTTTTATAAATGTAAAAAAGAACTAGAGGGAAGCACTTTAGAATTTTACAAAGTTGTCGATTGAGAAAATCAGTAATTTCCTGGATACATCTAAATTGCATGAAAGTGCCTTATTGTTGATTCTATACATGTAGAAATATGAGCCCTATGGAAGACTTGGCCTTTCCCACAGTTCTTTTAAAGGCGCTCTTAACCTCTTTGTTCCTCAGGCTGTACACCAGTGGATTCAGCATGGGGATGATGATGGCATAGAATATAGATGCCATTTTGTCACTGCCCATAGAATGGCTGGAGTTTGATTCTAAGTACATGAAGATGCCAGTCCCATAGAAGATGGAGATGGTGGTGAGGTGGGAAGCACAGGTGGAAAAGGCCTTCTGATGTCCTTCAGAGGAGTGCATCCTCAGAATGGTGATAAATATAAACAGGTAAGAGACCAAGATGACCACATTAGAAAAGATAACATTGATGCCCACAAAAATAAATAAAACCAACTCACTTCTGTGGATGTCTGAGCAGGAGAGAGCCAGCACAGGAGGACCATCACAGAAAAAGTGATTAATCACATTGGATCTACAGAAAGACAGGCTGAATATGTTCCCAGTATGGATGGAGGCAGTCAAGACACTAAGGATATAGCAACCTATTATCAGATACTCACACATGTCTGTGGTCATGATAGTGGCATAATGGAGGGGTTTGCACACAGCTGCATAGCGGTCAAAGGCCATTGCAGCCAAGAGAAAATTTTCTACAGTGAGAAAGAGTGCAAGAAGGAACAGTTGAGTAGCACATGCATTGTAGGAAATGACATTGCTTCCAATAAGGAGTTGGGACATCATTTTGGGAGTCACATCTGTAGAGTAACATAAGTCCGCCAGTGAGAGGTTACTGAGGAACAAGTACATGGGTGTGTGCAGATGAGAGTCCACGAGGATCAACACGATCATCCCCAAGTTCCCAAACAGAGTGATGAGATAAATGAGGGTGAATATGAAGAAGAGTGGGAGCTGCAGTTCTGGTTCATCAGTTATCCCTACAAAAATGAATTCAGTCACCTCTGTACTGTTCTCCATTGGGGTCATCTGCAGCGTGTATGAATGTCCTACAACACTGAGAAAAGAGGAAGTGGGTTGTAACCATTCTTAAGAACCTTATTATGACTAATGGACTAATGTGTGACTTTAAGTGGAATTTTCAGATTTTAACATGCATATAACAAGAAAATGTCACTTTAAAATATTGATAGGTCATGCAGTGTTCAGGATAAAAAGACTCAGGAGTTAATACATAACCCAAAATTCTGTCTTCATAAGTGATTACACAAGGAAATGATAAAGGAATGACTTAATCAAAATCAGTTATTCATGAGGATACGTTTGCCTCCCAAGTCAAATATTCAAACACTGAAATGAAATATTCATGCAATAATTCAATTTATTACATTACAATTACCACTTTTCTATTTTCTTATTATATTAAAAAAACAGTTATATGCTGCCAAGAGATAGTTTAACATACCATGTTATTGTCTGCAATATTCTCATAGGAGATATAAAATGTGTTTTATCACACAGTAGAATACTACAGAAATTTATGTACAAGGAATAAAGACATGGAAATAATAAAATGAAAAGTAAAGTCTAGACAAGTCACATTGGGATGCCAACTCTAGCTCCACCACGTACTGGATGGTTTACTTGGCTCTTGCTCATTTTCAATCAGCCATCAGTTTTCTCTTGAACTCATTATCACTCTGGATATATGATGCAGACCAATAGTTTAAGGTATGACACATCAAGACGAGAACAGATTTATTGGTCTACATATGAACTGAAGGACTGCATGTTTCAATGTTACCATTCCATATTAGGATGAAATCTAATGTCCTATATCCTTACCAGTTCATTTGCTTCCATCAAATTCCTTCCACTCCTATTCCTTCTGTACAATCCTCCTATTTTTCAAACAATATTCCTCTTCTATCTATGAAGTTTCTAGTTCAGCTATGCCAAGTAAACATCCACTTATTTTCGGAGTCATTTTTCATAACTATTGTGTTGAAGCCTTACTTTTCTGTGTGTCCAATGGAGATAATATTGCCTGACTCTTAACAAGCATTCAATAAACATACATAGATTCTCTCAATTTTTTAAGACAGTGACCAGCTTTACCTTGGGATCCATTGTGTAGGTGAGGTCAAGGAGGGTTTCCATAGGAGAATGAAATCTGGGATTCTGTCATCTCACCCATTGCATTTTCTTTTGCATTAACCTCATTAGTCTATACAAGTGATGATGGTGATCTGGATGAAGGTGTTAGTGAGAAAAGTAAGGACCAAGTGTCAAATTCTAGACATATTATATATATATATATATATATATATATAAAACATGAATGAAAGCTTGAGCAATGATTAATTACATATCTTGCTTCGTGAAAATCTGGATCGGGATAAAATAATGTACTGAAGAGCATTTCCTTTTCTGAAAAAATCATCTTTCTTTTCTACAAAGTAAGAGAGTCTTAAATAACATTTTTCTAGGGACAACTAATTATAATTCATCCCCCCGGTCAAATTAAACTTCTGATAAGAATAAGAATTTGAAAATTTCTTAAAGGCCCTTTTTGATTTCTTATAACTCTTTCTTCTAATAAGGAACATCTTATGCTTTCTACTTCTACAAACATGGTTCTCTGGACATAAATAAAAAGTGCAATCTTCCTTACGTGATGTCTATGTCCCAATTCAATCTCACTACCTCCTCAAGGATTGACACTGGGTTCAAAATTTCTATGAAACATTCAGCAATTCTTCACCTAGAGACACTGTCTTCTCACTAAAATACGGAGTCTGTGATAATTTACTCTGTTACTTGCAATAATTCATCTTAGCTTAATTTAAACTTTATCTTCCCATTCAAAGGATTAATACTGATCATTAGACATGCAAACTTGAAGACTGAAACTGTGGTGGGCGTTTTCAAGCACTTGCTATTTGGGGGCACCATGTGTGTCCATGTATCCCAATTAATTATCTTGCAACAGGTGAGATATTATCCCCATTTCACATATGGGGAAGCTGAAACTTAGGGTAACAATGGAAGAAACATTGAAGACAATAAAGCTAGCAAGTAGGAGTGCTAAAGTTTGAAACTAAAGCATTTTTAATTAAAACTTGTAATCTAGTTCTTGGTAATTAAGAAATAGTCCTTTAACATTCATCCACAGTCTAAACTGTACTGCCTTCACCCTAGACACATACACAAAATTATTTTATTGTCTTATTAATAACTTAATGACCAAGTTATTTCTTTGATATCGGAGTCATTTTAAGAAATTTAAAAGTATCATCTTGCGAATCATCTATGCTTACAACTAATGAGAATTTGGGCAAATAACCAATCTTTCTGAACCCAGCCACATGATAAGAACTAGATCCACCATTGCTTACAATGACTTCCTTTCTGCTCCCTCAAAAAAAAAAAATCATCTAAAATTAAAAGAAGCATAAGATTCTCATAACATTCACAAACTGGAAAACCAGGTTGTGTGTAAGTCATAATGCCTACATGATACACAGGTCCCAAGATGCAAGATGTGCAGTGGGCCAAGACAGACACTAACTGATGCTTATTGTGGGTTATTCTTATTTCCTAATTCCAGGTAGAGGTCATGGTTTTTGTGCTTCAGGCCAGTGTCATGGCAAGTTAATCTCGTTTACATTATAGCCCTTTAGCTGGGTCATTTAACAGATAATCAAACCGGGTGCCCCAAGTCAGAAAATCTTAACAAGAAATATAGTCCTAAGAGCTCTTCATACTGTAAATTCCATAAATTCTTCTGTCTGATGTGAGAGTGATACATCTTCTGTCAGTGCACTTTATAATTGATTTATTAGCTTGATTTCCACTTCATGTCTTCCTTTACCATTTATACCTTTATACCATTAACATTGATGCCAGGTGCTCTCCATATTATAACTAATTTTCATGTCAAGATCCCATTTGAAACTGACAAACCCAGGGACCAGCCTAAATAGCTGATGTTACCACTCTCCAAAAGAGGAAGCTGAAACTGAGAAAGGCTTAATGACTTGTCCAAGTTATACAAGCCTGTACTTTGCAAAACAGGGACAGGATACTCTCCCATCTTTGAGTCTTGTGGGGTGATAAATGCATATGTTCCCTGAGGATCTGCATGGTGGTCATGATAGCTATCTTGTGTTATTAACCACAGATAAATAAAAATGCTCAAAACAGTCACTACTGGTTTCTGAAAAAACCCAGGGTGAAATGGCTACTTTGATATGTCTGCCTGGATACCTCTGCCCCTGCAAATTTATACAGGCTGTAAATTTAATCTAGAGGCTTACATTGCTCCCTGAACAATGCAACAGGCAAATCCAGCACATTCCCATGTGAGTCTCAGATCAGAAATTCAGTCCATAAGAGTAAGGAAACATCTTATGAGAGGTTCTTGAGCAGTTGGTCAAAAGGGTAAAAGTTCTCCAGAGCAAGGAAATATTAAGAAAAATTATGTGTTAGCTTGTAAGTTCCTAATACCAATTCTAGATTATCTTTCTCTTCTTACCTAAGCGTTTTCTTTTCTCACATAACTCACTTGGCTGATTGTAGCCTCTGTGTCTCCATCTGTAAACTAGAAATAATAAAGAGCTAGACCCCCATCCAACCCCTTGTGGGAGGTCTGCAGCTGTCATGAGAAACCCAGAGGGGTGAAAGGCGTGATCATCACGGTCATAATTAAGGTAATTATTATTTGCAGATATTTGTCCTGGTCTTTGTTACATGCTCTCATTGGAGTTCAGTTTGCAGGAAGGTCATTGTTGTACTAGATTGTTATGAACAATCATGTGAATGGAAGCATGAATGGTCCAAGGGGCTGTGGCACTTAGACTTGGGACTCCAATATAGCGTCCAAAGGAGTCCTGTAGGACTTGAAAGGTTAGGAGCACTCAAGGGATAAAGGCCCCTGAGAGCAACAGCTCTCTTCTCACACAACTGGAGACAAGCAATTTAAGTGTCTGTGGAGATGGCTCTGGCTTATGAAGGGAGATCAAGTGTTTATTTACATTATTTGTACGAATTTTCTTTGATAATACAAAATCAAGTGACATCATTACCTCTAGGAAAGCAATTTGACACAAACATTGGAGGAGAGGGACACAGGCTTTGTCATTAAGTCAAGTAGATCCCAGAAATTGTCGCCTCCCTTGATTCCACCTGAAGTATCTGCATATTGATGATAATATCCGCTCATTTATTATTCCCATGTGAATGTCAGCCTCACTCTTGGGCCCCCTGTATACAATGTCCATGCAACGCAAACATGCTTCCTACTCTCATGTTTTCTTCAGTGTAATGGAGACATTAAATATGAAGCAAACACACAGATAAGCATTTAATCATTAACACAACAGGTGCAGCATGAGGATATAAGGTAGAAATTTAGATGTTGATTGTGTATTTAGCAAATGATTGATCTCTAAGTGGTTAAAAAAAAAAAAAAAACCTTGACCTTCTAGTTCTTGGTTATACTGATATCTTCCACAAGTGACTCCAAAGTTTTCTGTGGGTTGGAAGAGAAAATGTGAATAAAAATAAGTATGGATATTAGTTGGATTGAATCATGCAATCCTAGTATATTTTCAAAGGACTCTCTCTGTGCCTAAGAAGAAAAGATTATATAATAAGCACATGATTTCTGTCACAATCCAAAAAGTGCCAATTATAAAATTATCAATATGATTGTAAGGGAGGCAGAAATATCATAAAGGTGACCAAAGAGCGGTAAGAAATAATCCTATCCATTCCAATCCCATTCAACTACAAAGACTATACTGGGAAACAGTTTTTGTCTGATCTCTGATGAAATTTTTAAGGTTATTCTAAATATTTTATGTTTCAATTTTTTCAAGTTTATTGGTATATAATTATCATATAACATTGTATACATTGAATGTACTTACCATAATTATTTTATATGTATATATTGTGAAATGATTACCATGATAATTTATTTATATCATACCTCTGGATCTTACTCATTTTGCGTC